AAGGGCCAGTGGAAGGGCTAGGGAAGGTAGTAGCCTTCCTTCCCTAGCAGCTCACCCACCTCTGAAGGTGAAGGGGGCTAGGGAGGCAGGAAGCATCCAGAACCCTCCCCTGGGGGGCCCACCGCTAGTCCCAGACTAGGCGCTGTGAGGAAGGGTTCACAGCAGGAGGAGCTGGGGGACTTCAGGCTTCCCAGACAGCTCCCTGCAGCCCTGAGGTCCAACGCTGTCCCTGCTTCTACAGAATGAAAAGGGAGGCTTAGGTGAGCAACCCCTTGGTCTCTGCCTGCAGAGGAATAGAGAAGGGTACATTCCTCCCTTAGTTCCTCAGGACCCCTGCCAAGCACCTTGGGAAGCCCTACCTGTGCCAGGGAGATGACAAGAAGTGGAGGGGCTAAGAGCAGGTTGTAACTCCCTAGGCTGGAACAGCAAAGGACACCAGGCATAGGTGTGGACCGAGGCTGCCCCCTGGGAGACCTTGATAAGGAGCTGCAGTGGACTCCCTGGGGACTCAGGGCCAGCCTAGTCTTCTCTCCAAGCCCCACTGGGGAGTGTGTGGCCACGGAGTAAGGCCAGGTAATTTGGGGTGACCCAGCAGAACTGGGGAGCCTAGACCGTAAGATTGAGCAGGAGAGCCTATAGTTCAGCCAGAGCAAGGAGCAGAAAACCTGTACCCCTCAAGATGGTGGGGCCCAGGGTTGATGAGAGCAAGAGAGTGGTCATTTCATCACTGTAACCTTCCCTGCTGCTCCAGCGTCTTGCTCAAGGAGTGTGGGGGTAGGGATCCCCAAAGCCAGGCCAACAGGGGCAACAGGGGTCCTAGAGAATGCAGTGAATGATCAGCGTGCTCATCTCTGTAGGCATGTGTGTGTATGAGTGCAAACAGATGTGCTCCATATGAGTGCATATGCATATGTGTGTGCATGTACATGAGAATGCATGGGTACGCAGGTGAGGAAGTGAGCTCTGCCCTGAAGCAGGTGAACTCTCCCTCAGATGCTCAGTGCCTCATGCAGGTAGGGGTTAGGGAGCATTAGTGGGCCAGACCCCTGTTTTTGCACAGCAGTGAACACAGAATACTGTGTGCCAACCAGGCTGTGTCCAGGCCCTTGGAGCCCGGCAGAGATGGCTGAAGCTACCACAAGGGGGCCAGGCAGGAGGTTAGGGATTATGAGCTATGAGCCGCAGAGTGGAGACGCAGCAGACATGATGCATGGGCCTTGCTGATAGGTACCCCGTCTACCTCTTGAAGTCCAGGCTCTCCGTGAGCATCTAGGAGGCAGGTGTGAGCCAATCAGGATGCACCTGTCACTAAGCAGTTTCAGGAATGGGAGAGAGAGGGGACAGATTCAGGACAGGGAAGCTGGAGAAGTCTGAGATTGGTGGGTCAGGGTTCCCTGAGATTGTACATATAGGAGACTGAAATAGATGTCACCACACCCCTGGATCAGAATCCAGGAGCAGAAAACCAGAGCCCTGGGGCAGAGGCCACAATGGAGAACCACTTGAACCAGGGCTGCTAGATCCTAGTGCTTCGCAGACCACCCGGGCCTGCCCCCAGCCCTGCAGGACTTCTCTTGCTCTGGTAGTCCAAGCATCAGAAAACAGGTATTCCAGCTTGGCTCTGGGAGCATGCATCCTCTGGCTTCCTCTCTGCCCAAGATCAGCTCCCAGCCCCTCCCCAGTCTACTAGCATTCAGCTCCAGTCCCTCTTGTCAGGAAACAGGCTGGCGGGGGTTGAAGGAGTGAAGGCCTCTCTTATAAGAGGCTCCCTCTCCTGGGCAGTGGGGAGCCAGCCCAGCCTCCTTCCCAGAGGCGGAAGAATGCAGCAAATGGGGGGGGGGGCGGAGTATTGCTGAGGGCTTCTGGGGCGATAATTGGGCAGCTTTTAACTGTTCCCAGAGCAGCCTGTCACCTGTCACTATGACCTCTGTTTACAGCTTCTGCAGACCCTGCAGAGAGAGGGTGGGGACTCTGTGGGTCCTGCCCCCACTCTTTCCCCTGATCCTTCCCTCAATCTGTACAGAGCTTGCTCCCATAGCTGTGGTCTGGGTGGCCACCTATGTCTAGCTCTGTTGCTACAAGCAATGGGAAGAGGTAGTGAGGGGCCATGGCATCCTAGGGGCTCCATGTCACCTCACTAAGGGTCTGCTTTAAACTGATACCTGGGCTGCTTTCTGGACTATCTTGGGAACTCCCTTCCCTGTTATCCAGTCAGAGGGCTGCTGCTGGCCTTCCAGGCCCAGTGTGGCAGTGTAGCACCACAGGTCACAATCACCAAGCTTTTTTTCCCCAGCTTCTTACTCCAGGAAGTTGTCCTTGGGGTTCCCTGGGGTGGGGCTGGGGGCATCTGGAGACTACTACAAGGCAGAGGCCTGAGAGCCTGCCCTGGCCTATCAGGTCACAAACACATGAAATATCAGGGGTTGGCCCCTGGCTCTTGCATGCATGGACACACAGGCGCAGCTTGTGTCTGGTCAGCCAGCCCGAGCTTCCAGTCCTGGTCCTGTGGTGACCAAGTGCAGGTGCCTTTGGGCTTTAACGCCCCCACAGCCTCCAGCTCCTGGGATTCCTCCATGGGAAGGGAAGGTGCCAGTTGGTTCTCATTTCTGCAGTCTCTCTGCCTAGCTCTCCCTCTCAGTGGTGCCCCTCCACCCTCCCTTCTTTGTTCGCCCACTCACCTTTAATTAGAAATGCCAGGAGAGCCATTTTGGGGGAGTTCTTTTTTCTAGAAAGATATTCCCCTCAGGGAGGAAGCCCAGGAAAAGGGGGAGGGGAGCAAAAAGAGAAGGGAGGGGCTGATGTGGGGATTCCAATGGGAAGGAGAACAAGACAGGTGGGCTGGGGGCTCTGGGATGTGTATATGCAGGGCTCTGAATGAGAGCCCTCAGGGAGGGTGGTCCTTGCCGGGTCTATACAGGGGCCTGAGTGTGTGGGAAATGAGTGTCCACAGGGCTCTAGGTAAGAGGATGTCCATAAGAGGGGAGGATGAGTGTATGCAGGGATCTGGGTACTGGGGATGAGTGTATGTGAGTCCCTAAGTGGGGGCTGTGAGTGTGTGCGGGGCTCTGAGTGGGGGCTGTGAGTGTGTATGCAGGGCTCTGGGCAGGAGGATGAGTGTACGAGAGTCCCTGGGTGGGGGCTGTGAGTGTGCAGGGCTCTGGGCAGGAGGATGAGTGTACGAGAGTCCTTGGGTGAGGGCTGTGAGTGTATTTAGGGCTCTGGGCAGGAGGATGAGTGAGTGTATGCCAGCCCATGAGTGGGGGCTGTGAGTGTATTTAGGGCTCTGGGCAGGGGGATGAGTGTATGCCAGCCCATGAGTGGGGGATGACTGCACACAGGGATTTGAGTGGGGGCTGTGAGTGTGGCCTGGGCTTTGAGTGGGGGCTGTGAGTGTATTTAGGGCTCTGGGCAGGGGGATGAGTGTATGCCAGCCCATGAGTGGGGGATGACTGCACACAGGGATTTGAGTGGGGGCTGTGAGTGTGGCCTGGGCTTTGAGTGGGGGCTGTGAGTGTATTTAGGGCTCTGGGCAGGGGGATGAGTGTATGCCAGCCCATGAGTGGGGGATGACTGCACACAGGGATTTGAGTGGGGGCTGTGAGTGTGGCCTGGGCTTTGAGTGGGGGCTGTGAGTGTATTTAGGGCTCTGGGCAGGGGGATGAGTGTATGCCAGCCCATGAGTGGGGGATGACTGCATGCAGGGATTTGAGTGGGGGCTGTGAATGTGGCCTGGGCTATGAGTGTACACTGTAGGCTCTGAGTGGGGGCTATGAGTGTGTAGGGCGCTGTGTGGGGAGTAAGTGTTGGAGGGGCTATGAGTGTGCAGTGTTTGAGAGAATGACAGGAGTAGAAGCAAGGGCTGCCGTGTCCGGGCTGTCACTGTGTGTTTGTGGGCCTCTGCAGTGGGTAGTGGTGTCACCTGCTCCCAGGTAACATCAGAAGACAAGAGGCCCAGACCCACCCATCCAATCCAGCATGGTGTGTGTCCCAGCCCTCCCCTACTGCACACTGAGTTGCTAGGGAAGTGGAAGGGGCCTCCCTCCCCAGGGAATCTCAGCTTCCGGAGCCCCATTCCTTATATGGCATCTTGCTTTCCTCTGCCTTTGCTGACTGCCAGGGCTGCCAGCACCCTTCTCCACCTCCCTCTTCCCTCCTCCCTCCCCTCCCTCCTCCTTCTCTCCTCCCTCTCCTTCCCCTTTCCTCCCTCCTCTCTCCGAATTCTTGCGGGTTAGAAGTCTTAAAGCTGGCTGTGACCTGCAGTAGCAGAGAGTATAGGGGCAGGTCCTCACTTCCCTAGGCTAAATGATCAGGCACCTCCTCAGCAACCCTCCCCTTTATTCCCAAGTAGCAACTTCCAAATACCTTGGGGCCAAAGTGAAGTCCTGGGCCCCACCAACCGCCTGGCTGTGGGGCACTATGGGGCCCAGTCCAACAATGCCCAGTCACTGTATCACACAACCGCACCGATATCAGGGCCCACCCAGGCAGAGCCTCAGGTGGGTGTTCCACACAGACCCAGAAAATGTGCCAGGCTCTGGACTGAAGCCCTGGGGGCAGGAATGGGAGGAGACTGTGGGCATAGACTCACTGAATCCTCAACTGAAGGCAGAGGGGCCTGGGGGCTGGGAGGGATCGGCTAGGGCTCCTTGCCAGTGCTCCAAATGTAAAGTCAAACTGGGCAAGGGCAGGGTAGCAAGGACCCCCCCCCCTTGAGGAAAGAGATCGTGAGGCCTTGGCAGGGGGGCACCGGGCAGCCTTTGCCCTCCCTCGCCGGCCAGACGGTGGCAAGGTCCTCATGAATGCAGGAGCCAGGCTGGTGGGAGGTGCGCGGCAGCATTAGTCACCCCGGCCCCGCAGAGAGTATAGAGGGCGGGTCCTCGCTTGCTCCGCTGCCGCCTGGAGGCAGGAGTGGGCGTGGGAGGAGGGGCCTGCGGCGGGCTGGGCGCGGGCGGCCAATGGGAACCGGCGCCTGTTGAGAGGCCGCCCACTGCCGCGAGCTTCATAAAGCGCCGGCGGCGGCTGCTCTGCGCAGAGGTTGGCAGCGTCCTCCCTCAGCTTCTCTTGTGGCTTTTCCCGCAAATCCGACCGCAGCACCAGCCACCCCGCCGCCCGGCTGCTGTGCTTATCCCGAGAGCCAACACCGGTCCCGCCAGTTCGGAGTGCCATTCCCTGCGCGCAAATGGAGCTGGACCACAGGACGAGCGGCGGCCTCCACGCCTATCCCGCGGCACGGGGCGCGCCGGCGGCCAAGCCTAATGTGATCCTGCAGATCGGTAAGTGCCGGGCAGAGATGCTGGAGCACGTGCGGAGGACCCACCGGCACCTGCTGGCCGAGGTGTCCAAGCAGGTGGAGCGCGAGCTGAAGGGGCTGCACAGGTCGGTGGGCAAGCTGGAGAACAACCTGGACGGCTACGTGCCCACGGGCGACTCGCAGCGCTGGAAGAAGTCCATCAAGGCCTGTCTCTGCCGCTGCCAGGAGACCATCGCCAACCTGGAGCGCTGGGTGAAGCGCGAGATGCACGTGTGGCGAGAAGTCTTCTACCGCCTGGAGAGGTGGGCTGACCGCCTCGAGTCCATGGGTGGCAAGTACCCAGTGGGCAGCGAGCCGGCCCGCCACACCGTTTCTGTGGGCGTCGGAGGTCCTGAGAGCTACTGCCATGAGGCTGACGGCTATGACTACACGGTCAGCCCCTATGCCATCACCCCTCCGCCTGCAGCTGGCGAGCTGCCAGGACAGGAACCAGCTGAGGCCCAGCAGTACCCACCATGGCCGAGTGAGGATGGGCAGCCAAGCCCTGGAGTGGACACTCAGATCTTTGAGGACCCACGGGAGTTCCTGAGCCACCTGGAGGAGTACCTGCGGCAGGTGGGCGGCTCTGAGGAGTACTGGCTATCCCAGATCCAGAACCACATGAATGGGCCAGCCAAGAAGTGGTGGGAATTCAAGCAAGGATCAGTGAAGAACTGGGTGGAGTTCAAGAAGGAGTTCCTACAGTACAGCGAAGGCACCCTGTCCCGGGAGGCCATCCAGCGTGAACTGGACCTGCCGCAGAAGCAAGGAGAGCCACTGGACCAGTTCCTGTGGCGCAAGCGGGACCTGTACCAGACACTATATGTGGATGCCGAGGAAGAGGAGATCATCCAGTATGTGGTGGGCACTTTGCAGCCCAAGCTCAAGCGCTTTCTGCGGCACCCACTGCCCAAGACCCTGGAACAGCTCATCCAGAGGGGCATGGAGGTGCAGGATGGTCTGGAGCAGGCAGCTGAGCCAGCTGGGCCCCAGCTGCCTGCAGAGGATGAGGCTGAGGCCCTTACACCTGCTCTCACCAGCGAGTCTGTGGCCAGTGACCGGACCCAGCCTGAGTAGTGGGCATCCCAGAGCTCCCAGCCTGCCTGCCACATACAGCATGTGGCTCTTGCCAACTAGGACTTGCCAACTAGCTTTGGCTGACTCACACAGGGGCAGCCCTTGTCCAGCGAGGGCCTCCTGTCTCTGCTCACACAGACACAAGCCATCCAGCTGTGCACAAGACCCCAAACAGCAAAGGAGGCCCTCCCCTACAGAGCTCCTGCCTTTCACCTTCCCTCTGTCTGTCTTCCTGGCCCTGGCCATGGCCCTATTTGAGCTGCAGAGTGGCTCCACCCTCCATACTCTCAGGCCATCCCAAGCCATCCTCAGCTTCATTTGGCTCCACTGCCTGGGCCTCCTAGGCACTCAAAATACCATGCCTGAAGACAGGGGCCAGTGGGGTATAAGCTCCTGGGGTACCCCAGGGCTGTAACTAAGGCAGAACCAGTGCCAAAGGAACCTCAACTTCCGGAGACAGCACCCCTGGCAAGCACTGCAGAGCCAGCTGACATGCTCCTCACCTCCCAGAAGAGTTGGTCAGCTTTGGACAGCATGGCTTCCCTCCCCAGGGAAAGCCAAGACAACAAATGCAACAGCACCAGCAGTGCCTCCTGGCCCTGAGGTGAGCCCCTGTTCCCGAGGCATCGTAGAAGTGGGAGGGTCCATGGGGCAAGTACATTTTCCAGGTAAACGCACTAAAGCTCACAGATTTTCCCAGCAAATTAGCTGCAGGAAAAGCTTATGGGTACAGAGTTCCCAGGGACCAAGCAGGAGGCCAGGTGGAGGCAGTGCTAGGGGAGCCTGCAGAGCTGGCTCACCGGGACCCTATTCTTTCTTACCCCAGCACAGTGATTCATGCCAGCCTGGAGAAGAATCAGAACTCAGTTCAGTGACTCACCCATGGCAGGCAGAGCATCCCAGAGAGGCTGCATCCTCAAATCCGGCTGAGGCAGCAGTCGGTACCTTTGGAGCCAGAATGACAACAGGTAAGAGGAGTCCCATCCCTTCTGCCCAAGAGTGTCCCTCATCCATCCTAACCAGACAGGAGCTCCTGCCCAGGCCCCTGTTCCTGGGCGTTCCCCAGACTTCTGGGCAATCCTGAGAGGCTCTGCCTTAATTCTAGAGCCCCAGCCATCTATCATCTACCCCGTCCTTCCTGTGGACCCAAATGATATGCAGGCACTGTTGCTGACAGCACGGCCTTTGCCTCTCTCCTTCAGGTCTCAAGACTGTCTCCAGAGCTTTGCTGTTGCACTTCACACCGTCTCCTTCCCTCTCTCAAAGCAACCTGCACAGAAGTTCCAGAACAGCCGAGAGAGGGCGGCTGCACAGAAGCAGCAGCCTGGCAGAGGGCAGCTCTCCAGCTCAACCCATGAGCTAGTGATGAAGACAAGCCAGCATGAGGGCCAGAGCCTGCCACTATGCCTGCCCCACTGGCCACCGGCTGCCTATGCCCAGAGCCATTGCAGCTGGAGCGGGGCTCTGCTGCCCTGGTATCCCCCTGCTCGCTGCATGGCCATTGCCTGCTACCAGAGCCTTTCAGGAGCTCTGAGGCCAGGGCCCCAGCTGCTGCTCCTGCTTCTGGGCAATCCCAGGCTCTCTGTCCTGCTCTGCTGTTGCCTAGGAGGGACGCCTGTCACTGCCCCAGCACCAGCACTATGGTGCTGGGAGCCCTGGTGTCTGCAGCCCAAGCAGGCCCTGGTTAGAGGTTCCTCTTTCTGCCTTACCCACTGCATTCCAAATTCTGGGGACCAGCTCTGCAGGTCCAATCTGTGCCCCTACTAGCCCCGCAGATTTTATTCTTTGCCCATAAGCCATAACATTTTTTCATTGGCTAGCACTAGCCACATGGTGGCCCTGGGACTTGGGAGGACCCTGGGTACCTCAAGAAGGTGTGACTGCCTCCACCAGACCAAGCCATGAGTTTCTGGCCAGGATATGTACCCCTGCCACCTTACCTTGAAGACAGGCTCTTTTGATAAGATTTTGTTAATAAAACCCTGAAACTTCTTGGAGTGTTTGTGCTGCCTCTTGGGGATAAGCTGATGGGAGTGGATGTGGGGAGGCTGCTAGCCTGAGGTGACTGTGAAGTCTCTGTGACAACAGAAAGAGGATCAGTCAGGCTCCTGAAAAGGCCCAAGGGCTCAACACCCAGAGATCTGCTTTAACCCCCCTAACCTTCCCTTTAACCCTGCCCCCTTCCCAAGCCTGGCTGCAAACATGAGACAGAGGGGTTGGAGCCAGTTCCTGCTGAGCTGAGCACTACCTTTCATTGAGTCCAGCCAGAGTTCTGCCGGGCAGAAGGGCCTGTACGGGGCCTGTACTGTCTCCACAGCCTGCTCAGACTCTGGAGTCAGAGTGATGTGTCCAATGTAGGAAAGGGACCCTGGCCAGCCCTGACTGTGGGACGCTAGCGTCGGTCTCCCTGAATCTCATTTTCCTCATCTGCCGACGTTCCCTGGTACAACCCGTACCAAGGCAAGAACTTGGCAAGCAGAGAATTCTGCTGTCCTGTGAGAGGTCAGCTGCCTCTATCTTTGGAGAGGGTGCCAGTTTCCCAAAGGTGGGGGAGAGATGGCCTGAAGTTTGCTCCAACTTCTGTACCCATCACTGTTCAACGGGAAGCAGGACTCAGAGGAGAGAGGCAGTAAGAGGGCAGGGTTTTTCCAGGCCAGCACAAAATCTCCCAGCCAGCTGGAACTCTAGGCAGGGGCTGAAGCTGGCATCCACAGGAGAAATTTCTCTCCAGTAGGGAAGCCTCAGGGCAGCCCCACAGCCTTTTAGTGGGCTGAGTCAGGCTGTCCACATGATTCGAGACAGTTGTCCTTATGCCCACAGACTCTGGGCTTTCCTCACGCCTACAAACACCCTCAGCACAATCTCTGGATTAGGGTTAGAATGACAGGATGAAGCCTGGCTGGCTAGACCATCCCAACTTCCATGGTCACATGCAGGCGCTCATCAGTCAGCCCTGGCCTCTCAGATGGGATTTCTGTGCTTGTAGGCTTCTGAGTAGGGCTACAAGGGCTCATGAGTGGTGCCAGCCAAGCCCAGCGAGGGCGAAAGGGTACCTGCTGGGCTCCTGGCCAAAGTGCAGCCCTCACTGCATCTGCCAAGGAGACAACAGAGCCGGCAAGGCACAGAGAGCAGGTCTGGGGGACAGGACACAGATGGAACAGCAGGCAGGGCCACCTGCCACCAGGAAATGTCATCACACTCATCAAGGCCAGAGTGTGCACTGGGTAAAAGGCGGCTTACTCTTTACTTTCCCTTTTTGCTTTTAAATGATGGAACTGCTGCCCAGAGGCAGGAGAAGAGAAGTCAGGAAGCAGAGGCAGCACCACTTGCACATACAGCAACCCAAGGAAAGCTGAGCGCTGTTACCCTACCTCATGACTGGCAGGCTGTCCAAATACCAGCAATTGGACAGCTCCATTCTGTTATCAAGAAAAGAGGCAGTGAGTGGGACAGGTGGGGGCTGTGACACAGGGCTCAAGAGCCTACTCTATACCTCCAAATCCCAGCACCACCCTGACCGTCCACCCAGCCAGATATCACTGCTCAGTCTCATCTCCTCACTGCAGAACAGGGAAACTGAGATATAGAATGAAGTAATGCTTTCCCCAAGCCTTGAAACAGGCCTGGATCTGGAGTAAGGGATCCTCAGAAATGCTAAGGGCTCATCTTGCAGAGCCTGCATGATGGATTATGGCCCAACTCAAGTGCTGCCACGTCTGCCTCAGGGAATTAGTGCCACTTCTGGGGGCTAAGAAAACACAGCAATCAGGAAAGTGGGCTCAGGCTCACATAGTGCAGGCCTTAACCTTAGGTCTTCCTCTCAGAACAGGAGCTTTAAATCCCTGCCTCCTGCAGGTGGTGAGGTGAGAGGCAGATAAAAGAGATCCATGCTTATGGGGGGCACCCAAAGGCTAGACACGGGGGTGGGGGGTTGTGGGGAGTGTGGATATCAGGAAGTGTGAACCAGGAGGGACAGGAGGGTATGTGAGGACATTTCTGACCCCTAGCCACTCAGGGACCCCTCATTCTTGCAGGGTGAGCTGGTGCCTCCTGGCGCCTCCTCATGTCTTCAGGTTGATTCCCAGCCCAAGGGGCCTCTCCCACACTCACCTGTAGCTCCCAGATTGTGGCCTATGTTCACAGATCCAAGGCACGATATATTAGCCCTCTTCCTCTTGGAGGAGACCAGGCAATTCCCTTGGCTGGGGGTGAGGTAGCTACAGAGACAGTCACTACGGGACAGAGTCCTAAGAACATCCAGGACCATTCTCTCTGGGATGGGGCTATAGAGCTGGAATAGCCCTTCCTTGTGAGGATGGGGAAACTGAGACCCAAGAGTATCAAGAAGTCACTAGGTGAACCCACTGTTCTATGCAAGTTCATCCTGTTTCAATGTGCTTCTCTGTTCTTCTGCTCTATAGGCACCAAACCATGGCCCCTCTTTGCCAATTCCAAAGTGAAATCTACCTAAATGTCCACAGTTAACTCCAGTGCTGCCCAAGACACTTTCAGGGGCTTAGCAGCCTGGGTGAAAGGTGGGGGACTGCTGTGAGAATCTGTCTGCACAGTGGTGTGCACATACCAAGCCATCATCCTGATAGCCCCATTCCCCAGAATGGCCCCTCAAATAACCCTAGCCCTAACCTTCACCCTAAACTGAGGCAAGACCAACTCCCTAACCCTGGTGAAAGCCTGATTATAGTTTTGGGCTGTGGCAGATAACCTCCTGTGTGGCCAGGTTACCACTGTAGGGAAGTCATCTTGTGTTTAATCATTGTATCAGTGAACCATCGCCTCATGGCAGAGGACTATGAATCCAGCCTCTGTCTCACAGAGTGCTCAGCTTCCCTGGGACTTCAGACCTCTCTCTCTCTGCTGAATCCCTACCTGAACTGGGCCTTTCCTACAGAGACTCCTCCCCCTCCTCCTCCTTCTTTGGCTCTCTCCTTGTCACCTGCTGTGTGGCTTCCCTTACTTCCCACTCATTCCTCAACTCCATCCCCCAGCGCAGGACACTTAGGAACACTCCTGGATTTGCCCTTGGTTTGTGTGGTTCCAGGAGACAGAGCCCCACTCCTGGCATAAAAAGATCTTTAAAAGTGAAATGTGAGCAGAAGAATCTTGGCTCAGGCCTCTGGGCTACCTCCCTAGCCACTTGACAGAGCCAAAGTCCAGGCCAGCTCACCAGTGCCCACCCAGGAGGCCCAGAACCTCTTCTCTGGAGGCCTGGGGCTGTGCCTTTGAGCCTCTTCTCCCTTCTCTCACTCCCCACAGCCCTCTGTCGCCACCCCATCCTTCCTGGCCCCTGTCCTTCTAGCATCTCCAAAATGGAGCTTCTTGGTTGGTGGGTAGCCTCTGCTATCCTCTGTAATTTGGTGGAGAGGTGGCCCCTTGCCCCCTGCTGGTGCCCACCAGCTTCTTTCCTGCTCACCTCTGTGCTGTCTCTCTCAAGAAGGCCTCTTTCCCCCGATGGGGTGAGGGGCACAGCAGCCAGTCCTGAGTCTCTCTCCTATGTCCGTGCTGGGTCTCAGCCCTATACAAAGCCTTGCCTGAGGTCACTGAGAACACCTCATGCCACCCTCAAGGGGGCAAGTCTTACTTGGGGGTTGCCCCCCCTCAAAGATAGCAGCTCTGAGGAGGGGATACCCTCACTCCAAAAATATCTGAAGAAGGAAGAGAAGCCCTAGCCAGAACAGCTCAGCCCTCCTCAGCTGGGAGGGACAGTGAGGCGATCTCCACACTGTCCCCCCCACTGCCCTTGCCTGCCTGCATGCCACTCTGGATGCTCCATGGGGGGTCACAAAGCCATAGAATGTGCAAAACTCCTACTCATCCTCTGCAGCTGTATCACAGGCTTCTGCTCAGAGACCACCCTTACTCTGTGCCCTGGACAGCCCTAATCCTCCCTGCTTTATACTGGTACTTGCCCAGTGTTCCCTGCTGATAGAGGACCCAGCTCAACCCGACACCCACCTCCCTGGCCAGCACACTCACAGAAAGGATCCACTGCATACCCCAACTCCCACTCCCAGGGCCAAGATCCTGCAGCTTCCTGTCTGGCATTGTCCTTGCCAGGAGACTGGGTTATGGAAGAGGCTATTTTTAGCTTCCGCTATCCCCCATAATTATCTTGTCTCTGCTCTGCCCTGACATCAGGCACCTGGTACAGTCCCGCTGGAAAATGTCAGTCTGTCTTCCCTTGCTCGGGGCTATTGGGAATGTAGGGAGTCAGTGTCTCTAGATAGGGGCTGGTGAGTACAGTCAAGAGCCTCCTTCATTCACGCCTCATCTTTTGGGGACACTCTGTCACTTCTGGAGGTGTCGGCTCCACCCAACAAAGACCAGGACGGCCTCCAATGAGGTTTGGACACCCTCTGGTATTATGAAGGTAGGAGAGTGGTTGGAGTTTCAGAGTGCAGGTCTACTTGTGCCTCCACAGTCCTCAAAAGAACCTGCTCTCATGAGCGGAAACACTCTGGTGTTTCTGGTCCTGGGATGAGGCAGGAGGCTTGTGGTTCATTCAGACCCATGTTATCTCCAGGGCCCTGTGCTTGGTAAGAAGGTGCCCTGTGCACTCTGGCTGCTCCTTGAAGCTACAAGGTGACATGTCAGAGGATCTCCCAGCATCTGCAGGTGGACCCCTCATTGGCAGGTGCCCTCTGTCTCAAGCAGATGGGGCAGGAAGTAAGTGTGTGTGGAAGGGTTAACCTGGATTGCACTGGGTTCTTAGCCTGAAGTCACCTGGCTGTATCAGCTAGCAGAGTAGGGGCCAGAGCCACCCTAAACCACATATCAGGCTCATGAAGCTGCTGATGCCATGGACTCCCTTGTTGCCAAACCTCGAGGCCCACTGCTGACTGCAGTCCTCAAGTGATGGTAGGAATTACCCTTCCTCGAAGATGCAGCCTACCTGTGCCCTGGCACCCTCCCAGCAGCTTTTCTCTGCCACACCTTCTGGCTGAACAACATCCTCATGGCTCAACCTGCAAGCA